TAAATTAATTTTCTATAACATTTGGATTTGGAGCCCGACACCAGAATTTGTACCCGGACAATCCAAATGGTAGCACGCAATGCTAACCACTCGGCTACTGCGGCCGCCGTATACGAGTATAGCCGTATTTTTGAGGATAGCGCAGACATGCTTACGTTCCAATCGTCGAACATGCTTTCATCCGAGTTGATGCATGGACCTTATTAGTTTCTCATCGCTGTATTTGAATAGCTTGGCCGCTAAATCATTGGGCCCCCGGCGCTTTGCTGTTTTTCAAATGGACGATTGCTATTCGAACTTCTTCATAATTGGGCAAAGTATTATTTGTTCTAATGTCATCAATGAGAGAATCGGGTTCGCCATCTCCTTGTGTTGCACTTTTACTGCCATTTCGCAGACTGGAGAAGTGTTCTCTCCGCCTTTGTCGGCCAGCTTCCCAAGCGCTTCATACTCACACATCTCATTCTCTTTCTTGTCTGTTGTATGTTCGTATGTTTTCACCATATCGGATTGTAATCGAAACTAAAAATTTGGTTTGAAAGTAATTTTTCATAAATACTCTACAACGCAATCCATTGTGGATTATCTTTATTTAAGATAATTTGAATGTTATGCGGAGGTGAAGTATATGGTCCATGGCAGGGACGCGTGTATGGAATACTCGTGTTGTTTGCAGGGTATTATTTCCGATGCATATACACATTAGAAAAATTGAAGTTAAAATTAATTAATTTTAAAGAGACTCTCAACACACAATTTTTTAACAAAATTCTTTTATTTCCAACGCCTCTTCATCTAAATCTGAAACATTGTAAAAGTGCTATAAAAGTGAATTAATTTTCCTAAAGATATTCAAAATTCATCAATATAACTCACCTGAAAGCGTTTTCCCCTTTCAAATTCGAAACAATGCTTTGATCCCATAAGACAATACATATGTATGTATTTAAGAATATATAAATATTTTTTTAAAAAAATTCTGAATTCAGCTCTGCCGAATGGTAATGGATACTATATAGCCAGGCTGTACGTTGTCGGGTAGGTATCCAGCAAAGATCAGGTATCAGTGCGATGTGCGTATTCTTCTCAATGGCTATGCCATGTAGAAATCGTTCTTGATCGTGGTCTTGGAGTGGGGTTTGTTCAAGGTATTACGCGTTACCGCATCGAGGATCAGCCTGGCTGGCAGACCCTAAATAGGCCAGTCTCAAACGGAGTCTCCTGGAACCAGGTCGCACCAGGATGTGCTCATGACCTTACACGGGTAAGACGAGTCCGGTACTAGTGGGATCATGAGAGACTTGAACAACAAAAATTTTAAACAAACCAATAAACCAAAAAATACCGGCACTCTTCAGCAAAACCAGAAGAGCGGAAGCTTACGAACCAATAGCCGATTCGGGTCAGTCGCAATCTAAAAATTCCAGCATCAATGGGGAGAAGAGAGGGATCCTCCGCGGAATATTCCTGGCACTGGCGTAGTTAACCCAGGTTTGCAGATTACTGCCTCGGTTGTCAGCGAAACCAGAGCGCAGGCCCCGCTCCGCCCTAACCGCAACTGCTGCACTGCTACTCTAAATGTCATCGGGGGCTCTGGTTGACCGGACAAAATATGTGGATTGAGATCCAGCAAACATCTTTCGTAATTAGTCTTGCAGTAGAAGAACGGAGCTTCGGACTATCTTCAATATACCTGGTACAAGAAAAGGTAATGCCCACCTAGACCGTAGTTAAGCTTATACAGGACAACACCGAACCTTTGGTCCTTACAGGGGACGTGAGTGCCAACCACTAAACTTGGGGAAGCACAGACACAAACTAACACTGATCTCGGCGGAAGCCGGGACGGGGTTAAAGAATTGGAAAGTATTCTTTTTCCGATCATCGTTATATCCAATTTGAGATAGATGGGATGGTCTCCAATGTCAAACCAAGAGTTAGAAACACAATAGAAATGGAGGCGTAGATTAAGCTGTTCTCTAGCGCCAGTTCCACAGCTTTAGATATAGTCTGCCCAGCAAGACTTCCGAGAGGAAATAGAGGCCACCGTGGTGTGTGTGCTCTTAGAAAGGCAAAAAGAAGCTCTAAGAGAAACTTTTGCAGCAATGTGGAGATAGCGTCAGAAGGTAGTAGGCTCAGAAAAGTATTCTCATGCACATCTCATTTAGTGCCGGGACCGTGGACAGCGTCTGCGGAAGAACCCCTCGGCCTTCTCATAAATGCTCATAAATGCTCTTTCCTGATGCATCTTAAAGGTTTTGATTGCTGGCGGTGATTCACCTATGGCTTTTCTTTGAAAATTACCCAGAGAAAACTTTGTCTTGGCCACTTTCTTGCTTTGTTTAAATGGAAATGTAATCAAGGTGGAAGAAGCGCCAAAAAAAAGTTACAAAAGGACAGTTTTCGATCCGGTTACTGTCGCTTCGAACGACACTGCTCAAATTCCCCTTTTAATCAGTTTGCATCTGTACGTAAGGAGTTTGCAATGTTGTCCCACAGTTCCCTTATGCTGAGTTGCTGATGAGTGCTCCCAGAGAGCAGCTGTACAAGTCGAGTAGAAAACGGCTCGGGAGTAGGAGGGTGGACGGTGATAGTGTGGGAGGGTAGAAGGTAGGTAAAACTGGGCTCGACTCGAGAAAAGATTTTTCAGCCGTCTTTATAAATTAAGGAATTGCTTTGATTGAAACAACTTTATAAATTATTCCTTTATTAATTCATTCTACTGGCTCATACAGTTTTAGAATACACAATATACTTAATTATAACATTACGTATTTGGCAGAGACCAGGGAAGAATTTTTCAACTCGCAATTTATACGTGATGATATGAAGATATCTATAAACAACAATGGTTAATCATTTAGTTATACATACATATGTATTTAATTCAGTGACATTATATTAACGAGTGCGGTTATGAGCATTAAGTCACGTCTATGCCATTGATGATTATCTTTGTCTATGCGAACTATATATATTATAATATAAATATGTCAAGTAAATTCATTAAGACATTAAAATAGAGGATTATAAACAACAAAAGAAAGTGTGAGTATGTCTAACCATAATTTGGTTTTTATTTATCGGAATTTCTGTTTGTTTTATAAAATATACTAAAATGAGACGACTAACAATTTTGAGGTAGTGGTTACAGATCACAAAGATGCAAAAATAGCATCTGAAATACACTGAATTACAGAGCATCGATCAAATTCCGCTTTCAAACCACGAAAAAAACGTGTTTTCAGCATTTTATTTTTTGAAAAGGTAAGACATAATGCAAAGTTCACACGATAATGCGTGCTGTTGAGCAAACTGTACAACAATCTTAAGTCTTTTACTACATTTAACGCAACTCTTAAGCCAACCTAATGTATAGCTGCACTGTATCGGACCTTTTTATATTTTTTTTGTAGGAATATTGCAAGAAGCAGCGAAAATGAGTAATATTATAGTATTTATAAAGATGGATGAAATTGTATATCACGAGGAAATGCAAAAATCAAAGAATAAACGTACAACAACTGAAAGAAAAAGATGGAGGAAACAGTGGTACCTAAAAATAAGATCATTTATCTATCAGTACATATATATATATTTAAACATATCTTATGAATTTCACTAGTAATGTTTTGTTAGCTCTGTTTCTGAGAAAATTGGTTTTAGACTTGTCCGATCTTATGTCCCACAATTCCGGGAAATTTTGGCATGATTTAATAAAATTTTGCCAATTATGGTTATTTCCGATAGACATGTTGCTCCATCCGCTACGAAGACAATACTACTTGTTGTACAACAGTGGTACTCACGATCATGCAAAATATACAACCGGAAGCACCGCCCACTACAAATAAAATATTCTGTTATATGTCCAACGGTTGTACCAACACTATACAGCCAAGCTACACACAACGCATTGTACAGCATCGCTTTGCCGTAAAACACGCTGAAACGTGTGTACTTTGCATAACAATTATCTAGAGATGATAACGAACAATCGAGGTATATAAGAGGCTATTTACACCGAGCACTTGAATGCATATATGGTCTCTGTTAAGCCAATAAAATGTCAAACGTTTCCACCAAACTTGAGTTAACCCAAACAACTGAATTTTGTTTACTTCTGACGTTTGCAAAATTGGTCGCAAGTATTAAAATCATGAAATTCAGACACCACATTCATTTTAAGTGCGCGGTCTCTATAATGACTTATTAGAAAGAATAATAATCGGGCCTTTCCTGCATTTCTATTTCTAATTGAAATATTCTTGAAGCATTTTTGGCTTTCTCTAAATTCTTACTATTATCGTATAACTAAACCCTCACAGAGCTTCACTATTTTCAAAATTTGTGGGCAGAATTTAAGGAAGATTGGATTCTATAGTTAATTGAAATATGCATTTATAATATTAACATTATTGCGTTTGTATTATTGATTTTGATTTTTGCATTTTTTCATAAATAAACACATATATAAGTAATTTCAATAAAAAAAAGATCTCTAGGGGAACCGAACACAAAAATAAAATTGTTGTGCCAGGCCGCCTGTTTCATTGTGGTATGGAAAATGGAGTCAAAACTATAGTACAAAATAATAAAAAGTGGTACAATTTTATTTAACATTTTATTGAAATGCGAAATACAAAACATTCAAATGCCTACATATTGTATAAATACAAGTAACTATTTTTTATTGAAATAAATAATTTACATTATTTTTAATGAAAGTAATTCAAAGTTCATCATCAACTCTGCCAAATAAAATTTTTTTCGTATTGTAGCATGAAAGTATGTTCTTGGTAAAAAAATAGGTTGTATATAACTAATTTATGTATTTGTAAGTGGCCAAAATGAAAGTATGCATTTGGCTGTCGTAAGCCTTTTCCGTTGTGACTAATGATATTTTGACAGCTTGTAGCCCGTAGTCCGTGGCGATTATTCTGTAGTAAACCTAAAGTTGACGTTTGGCCTTGTTTTCAATTGCAAAGGCTATTAACATCAATTTTTATCAACTAGAAAAGAATAGAGTTAAAAAAGTACAGAAGTTTTCGACGAATATATAATTTTCTATAGTAAAATATCTATTGAATAATCTCGTGTGGTTATGAGTGAATACTGTAATGACGAATTTATAAACGTGAAGATATTATTTTTTGCGAAGGCGCGTGAACTTTCTGGTCTGAATTCAACCGTATTTTCTTTAAAACGTTGCACTCAAACTTCTAATATTTTGGACGAGATATGCAAAAGCTTTAATCTAGATTATATAAGAAATAGCTGTGTTGTGGCAGTAAACGAAAGATATTGTGAAGGACTGATAAATTTAGAAGCTGGCGACGAAATTGCTATTATTCCAGCTATAAGTGGAGGCTGAGTGAGAAGCAATGTCTGACTTTCTATCCATAAGTCCGGAACCTCTGGATGTTGGAACAATTAGTAGCCTAGTTTCCCATGAGACATGTGGCGCGATTTCTTTATTTGTTGGAACTACTAGAAATAATTTTGAAGGAAAGAATGTATGTATATATAGTGGAATGTTTACATGTATGATTTAACAATATTATTCTAGGTGCAATCTTTAGAATATGAGGCTTATGAACCAATGGCTAAAAAAGAACTTAAAAATATATGTATGGAAATGCGGTCGCTTTGGAAAGACATAGTGAACATAGCTATTTATCATCGGCTCGGTTTGGTACCACCTAAAGAAGCGAGTGTTGTTATTGCAATATCTTCTCCACATCGCCAAAGTTCTTTAGACGCTGTTTCGTATGCTATAGAACATTTGAAGCAAAAAGTTCCCATTTGGAAGAAAGAATTGTATAGCGATGGAGATTCAGATTGGAAAGAAAATAAAGAATGTCAGTGGGTTAAGTAAATTAATATCTTTAATTGAAAAATTGTAATAGTAACATAATATGTTGGCTGTTATTTTCTAATTAAAAATAATTAACAACAGTCGGATAAAATCTATACATCTGTTTTCATGTTGATATCCATGATGAAATAATATAGAGGTGAAGTAAGTAAGCAATTGTCCCTTTCTCACACGCTGCCATAGCTATATATATAATGTTCCGATCAACACTTATGATAATGCTTTTGGTTACAATTTCTTCCAGTAACATAATTTTTTTAAACCAGCATTATGGACTTTGTGTGAAAATCCCGTAACTTTATATATATTTAACAACTTAGGTACTTATTATTAAAAGTTTTTGTTTTTATATCACAAGAAATATGGTTAGTTCTACCTTTCAACAATATATGTATTTTTTCTGCTTAAAAATTTGGTATGTCAATTTTTGTCTAAATTCCCAAAAATGTCTCCGATTTTTTTCCCTTCCCTTCTCTTAAAATTCGAAAATACAACGTTGAGCTAAGGAAGCGTCAAAGTCTCTTTCTACTCTATTTACTTCAACTGTATATTATTTCATCATGGTTGATACCTTGTAGATAACTGGGTACATAGCAATTGATATAATTTAAATTTGTTTATAGAATGTCATATTACAATAAAAAAAAACTGTGTGAAGTGAGTTGAGTAAAGAGAGATTTTGACGTTGAATTTTCGAATATTAGCAGGAATGGGAGGAAAAATACAAAATGTCATTACTTATTGAAGCTATAGAACGGCTAAGGTGATTGGTGGTACTCAAAACATTTGGATATAACAAATGGATTGATCTCGCTATTATGCTTTTCTTGATGCGCCTCGGAGCTGCTTCTTCCTTAACCAATTATCCCCATTGGTGGCTCTTGTCTTTAACGCCGTGTATATTCTTTATTATTCGCTGAAGTTTAAAGTGCCAACGTTTCGAGCTGTAATGATCTTAATTGAAGGTCCTTTTATAGTATGACTAATCGTGTCATAAATTTTCTATAAGTAGAAAAAGATAGTGGTCTCGACACTTATCTGAGATTAGATAGTGTGTTAGAGGAGAGAGCAGCAAATAATCAAACGTTTTCATTACTGGAAATAGTGAAGATGTCCGATTTTATATTTCGCAAAGACTTGTTAGTTTTAGTAGGGGTGCCCTTAAGAGTATTTTAATATGTGACATTGCCAATTTATTTTAATGCACGTATTTCGCTTATATGTAGTTGATAGAAATATTTGTTTTTTTTTTTTAAATTTCATATTTTGTAATTCTTTTCATAATACAGGTGCGGGCGGCGATTCAAAAAAAGCGAACTTTGTTTTCTCTAATTCCAAAATACAAGGTGACATATCTGTGCCAAAGGAACTGGTACAAATAACGGCGTCGAAAAATGAAATTAAGAAACGTATAATCTGTTACCTCGAAAAGAAGCGTAACGAAATTAATGAAAACAACATTATGGACTACAGTCAAACGGAAAACTTCAGCAAAATGGAAGAAGGACAAGAACAGCTTTTAGAGATAAAAGATTCCTGTGCAAGAGTGAGCAGTACCATTGTGAAACAAGAAAGTTCAAAATGTCTTTTAAAAGGTAATTAAGCACAAAACTTTTGATCACAAACTAACGAGTTAAATAACAAAAATAGTTTATTAACAGTACAGAATATACTAGTTATATCTATTGTTTCCCTTTTGAATGAAAAGAGAATAATTTTTCAAACTCCCTTTGGTTTTGAAAGCTTGCTTGTTTTATTTTTTATAAATTTTTTATAACACCAAAAATATGTTTTATGGGATCTGCTTAATAAATTTGAAAACAGGTATTTACCTGTTGCTCTTCAGATCTTCTCGGTATCGACAGGTTTTTTTTTTTTTTAATATTTGCCTATAGTATTTCAAGGTCTCTATGTACATACATACCTTCTCGATGAGTATATATCACGGTGCACCAGTACGTCCTCGTGGCGTTTAGGTTGAAGGTCTTTATAACTTACATGAACACATCAAATTTATTGCACAATGCTTAATTCGAGTTCGATGATATTCAGGGTCAATAATTATTTGAATTTATAAGTAAACATCAACCCTACAAAGACAGCCGAGCTCCTTTTCAATTGGTGGTTTTCTGTCCTTATGTTTTTCCAACAAATGCAGGGACCTACAGTTTATACTAAGCCGCCTCCGAACGGCTAATGGTTTTCTTATGAGGAGTTTTATTTCATGTCAGAAATACACTCTCAGGGGTTGACATTCCCTGCCGAGGGGCGACCGCAATTAGAAATATTAGTTTAATTTTTGCCTTCCGAATGTCAATACGCAATGCTAACCACTCGGCTACGGCAGTCGCCAATCGTAACATTTACTAGAAGGAATAAAAAGACCTTCAAAGGCCTAGGACTAAATAATATAGTGATAGAACTCACCTGTGCAACATACACCTAAAATATTATATATAATAAGCAAAGCGACGAGGTCAATAATGATGTGCAGAAGATTAGCAGGAAAAACTTAAGGATGCACACCCAAAATACTGCACAGGATGTGTACCATGATAGTATGTAAAACCAATAATAGGGAGCAGTTGCCTTGGCAGAGAGAGCTTTTAAAGCAGCACTAACTAACTACCCTGCAAGAAGGCTTCCGATCATTTTAGCCAACATATGTCAGTAATGGACTTTCTTAATGCCGAAATCACAAATGAGATGTTTACATTTGTATACGTGTACGTCATTTTCGCCATTCTTGTAGACTAAGCCGAACACATATGAGCGACAGCATTGATGACGAAGGAAACCAGTTTTGACAAAAATTTTCCCTACATATCTACAAACATTATTAAGACCTAGTCTTTATTCCAATATACGACAGTAAATTCGGTTTCAAAAATCAGCAATACGTACGATTGGGGATGCAGCCCCACGAACACTTCCGCCATAATCGCGGCTCCTTTGAAGTATAACGAAGTCTAAGTAAAGTAAAAAAATTATGTTCGAATCATAATACTGTTAATGTCTAAATGCAGTTCTAACTCGCAAAGTTTTGTCGAATACTTTTAAATCTGCTACTGCTGCAAGATCTGAAGTGTCCATTTCAGTCAACCTGCTCCATCAGTAAATTTTTCCTTACAGTATGGTGTACCCTTAAATTAGTGATGTCCAACGCCCAACCTAGTTGTTGCCAAGCGAAAAATTTCAGTGGCCAACGAGAAGACTTTAATATTTTTCAAATAATAATTTTTTCCAATTGCTAACCGAAGCGATTTTATATCGACAATAATAAGACAAACAGTAGTTAGCTGTAATGTCCGTTGTATTCGCATCGTCGCTATATTTTCCTAAACATAAACTTTTGATAAATTTAGGAATTTGGGGTTGACATTCCCTGCCGAGGGGCGACCGCAATTATAAAACTTTAATTAAATTTTTTATTTAAATAAATTTTCTACTATAACTTTTGGAAAATAAAAGCAAAAACGGAATTTCGACTTGTTTTCACTATTTTTCTTAGGTTTGGCTATTGAATAGATCTGTTGGCCACTTCTGTGGCCACAACAAAAAAAAGTTTGAACAGCACTGCCTTAAATAATACAGAGTAAAAAGCAATGAAAAGTGAAGTATTTAATTAATTGACAATATACATATATATGTATGTATTATTACCAAAGCATGTACAGGATCTTCATCATATATTTTTCACTTGTTTCTGCTACTGAGAAAGCGATAAAAAAATGGCGTCCTATTCTGAAATAGGAACATAAAATAAATCATTCTCCTTGAATGTACTCTTAAGAGAAAAAAATTGCTTAGTTGTTAGTGCTGCCCGAAATCGTGAACCCATGAGGCAGGGATAAATCTCCGTCCTTTTAGAGGACTACTAGAAAAATCTTATTGCTATCTTTATCGTTTGACGGCTATAAAACAAGTATAATTTCATAATTGCTTAAATACAAATATAATAAAATCTTGAATACAATAAATCTTGAATATAATAAATTAAAAATACCATAGCTGCCAATTTTATTAAAATACTTTAAAGCAGAAAAAATAAATCAACGAACTCAACTCCGAAATAAATCTTGAATACAATTAATAATTTAATAAGTTGCCAAAGTAGAGAAAATAAATTAATTTAACCGCTAAGCAGCTGTTGTACAACTTGCTGGTTACTTTTTATTGAATCCTGTTGGGTGAAAACTCAGTAAATTTCTTGCTTTAAGAGAGTATGGCACCTTGCTCTCTCAATTTCATTACTGGCTAACTTTCACTGACATTTCTCAACGAACACAGCTTTTATATAAATAAAACAGACATAAAAATTGATTTATTCAACCCTAAGCACAGTACCAACACTACTTTTTTCATAAAACACTATATGAAATTGAGAAAATTATGAATTTTAGGTAAAAAATAAACATCAAAAACGAGTTTCCTGGCCCAGAAATAATTGGATACCACAGTTTTCCAGAATAATTCAATTACTGCATGGATTTTATAACAGTTTTACTTTATACAGGGTGCTTAAACTTAAAACTTGCTTTAAGAAACAGATCTTTAAGGTAGAAATCCGTTTCGGGGTCTTGCTATTTATATGTATACTAGCAACTCCTTCGCTGTAGCATATACTCAATGAATTATGAAAAATATGACAAATTAATAGTGGGATATATTTGTATCATAACTTTATTTACTTAACACGTGACGGAATACAACATTTTTCCCGGAGAAAGGAGTAGTCCGACTTTTGGAACAAGTCAGCCGCCGTTCCACTTCCCGAAGAAAAGTGTAGTCTTCCTGTTAATCTAAGGAAAAATGCACAGAATTTAAAGTAAATCCAGCTATAAGTAAATTTTTTTCCAATAGGTCAGTTTCCGGTCCACATTGCGACATTTTTTTTTTTTTAATTTTCCCAGGGACCATAGAAACAATCGGTCGGTGAATTTAAAATTTTTTGGATATAATTGGATTTTTACAAAAGGAATAAGATTTTTATATATAAGACAATTTTCGCTTTGAAATCGTTGAAACAATTTTTGGCCGAGCTCCTCCTTCAATTTATGGTTTTACGTCGTGAACATTTTCTTATTAATGTAGGGACCTATAATTTATTTTTCAGCCGCCGGTTTTAGGCTTATGATTAACCACACATATCTACTTATATTGAGTGATAGGTTTTGTAATTTTTTTTTATTTATTTCAAATTCTTAAAGAAATGTGTATGCGTAAAGTAATAATGTAATTATTTGTAATTTCAGTTTGCAGAGCAAAAAACATCACTGGCCCACAAATACGACCTGATTATTTTAAAACATTAGATATGCATATGAAACAGGAGCAACCATTAAAGAGTTTTAAGAAAGAAACAACATGGAGAAAGCGAAGAGCTGATGCGATAACAGTAAAAAATAGATTGGATAACATAGAGAAATATTTATTTTCTTCATCCAAATTTGACTTGCCCGTTAGTGTTCGAATTAAACAACTCGAAGATCGGCTGCTACACTTGGAGTCATTATCTCCTGAATATCTTCATTTTATTGTGAGTATATGATAATACAGGTTTTTAGTATGATTTTAATAAAATGTATTAAATTTTTTATATTAAACGATCATAATAACCACAAGTTGTATTTGAGCTGCTAATGGTGTAAATACTATATTCAGGGGCACACCTAGTGTGAAATTTCAAAAAAAAAATTTCATATTTCGGCAGATTACACTTTTAAAAATAACATATTAAAATTTCAAATCGATATCTCAAGTATATCGAGTTTTTGAGTTATCGCAATTTAAAGAGCATCCGCTCGGCAGCTAGAGAGTGTCATTAGCTACGAGTGAAAACGATCATTTTTATCTTCAAACGCATTTTTCTCGAATTTGCTGCAGTGATTACTCAAAAACAAATGATCTGATCACTATGGAATTTTTTTACATTTTCTATATATAGTTCTCCGTACAATGACCTATCGATTTTTGATCTGATCAAAAAATCGAATTTTGGCAGGCCAGAAACGACCAAAATTTTAGGTAAAATTCGACTATTTTCTCTAAAACGCCGCCAATTTTTTATTTTTTTTATCGTACTATAGATCTCATTGCACAGACAATATGTAGTTTAACGAAAATTGTTTTTTTTTTTTAATTTCATCCACGGAGAAGGCCGGAATCACTGCAGCAGTGAAGGACCTTTTTTCACAAAAATTTCACTGTATATTCTTGAAACATGTAAAAATATATTCTTAAGATTTTGAAATAATTGATAAAGTATTTTTTTAAATAAAATTCCCAAAAATCACCTTTTTTTTAGGCCATTACACTAAGTGTGCCCCTTAAGCGATATTGTTGAATTAAGTGCTTCAATGTACCCTCACCCTATCACAAAAGTTACGCTGCTATTGAGTAACCCAGTACGGACGGGTATAATAACGGAAAACAAATTCAAATAGTTGAGATTATTGGCAAGAGTCCACGCGGCGTTTGCTTTAACTAAATAAAAATCATAAAAAAATTTGAATCAATTCTTAAAATTGAAAATTGTAACAAATAATGTACATATGTATGTACATCTATGAAATAAAAGTGATTTATATACACTAATATCGATAGCGGAACGTGGGCAATTAGATACGAGTATACAGTTATATTATACGCAAATATACGATCTTAGTTGTTCCTTAATGATTGCATTTTTTTGAATATCATAGAATTATGAATGAATAATATTAAATTTTACTTTTTATTTGTCTTCTTTCTCTCTCTCTTTACAGGTGGTCTCAAAAAATTCTCATAAAAGTTCAAGTAAAGAGTTGAAAGCCACCTCAGATCAAATAATGACGACGCAAGACGACGGATTTTCAAATCATAAAATTTATACCGTTGAAGAATTAAATTCCTCAATACAACAAATACAAAATAATGTATCGAAAGAAAGTGCGTAATTTAAAACTTAACAAAATAAATTCCAATCACCAATTTTGTTGTTGTTGTGATTCTCCAACCCCGCTTAGGAACATGCTAGTTAGTTTAAGGGAGAGGGGGATAGATGAGTTGATTTTACGGCACATGCGTAGAGATGGTTAGTGTCGTGCGGGAGATCGATGCATGTCTGTCTGACGAGTCTGGATAAGTAGGAATTTAACCTGCCCCAATATGCAGACCTGAGATGCGTCAGCATTACGCGCAACTCTCGAGGCAGCTCGATCCCTTCGTCTGCTATGGGTACTGGTTTGATTCCGAGAACACCAATCACAAGGAGAGAGTTCATGAAGTTTAAAAGTAAATAAATGTTGAGGTGGTCCCTTCGGTAGCATCAAAGTAGAAATTGCTTGCATAGCAAAGCTTATGCTCTTTAACTCAAGTTAAGTTATGCTCTGGAGTAAAAAAACCGTTCGGCTGATTGCTATGATTGTAGCTTTTCAACTTCGAGTCTTCCTTCTGTTTATTTATAGAACGAGAAGATACGTTTCATGTTACGGGTCTCAAACCCTTTGCACAACTCCAGGGGAATTCACCATCTCACTTTAGAGGACACTTGTTCTTAGACCGGAAGTCGGAAGCTGCTTTAACCGTACGTAAAATAGACGTCTCTGACCACTCCCAAATAAGTGTTAGTAAAAAACTTCCCTCGCTTACGTGAATCTCTATGCATGGCCCTATCCTGAAATAAAAAAATAGTAAATTAAAAATAATAAATCTACTAATTGGAGACTAAGCTCGGCCGAAAATCATTTATGCGGTCCGTGATAAAATATTGAGGCTATTTTCACATGCCCACATATAAAAGTAGCTGACGATATTATTAGAATTTAAACCATTTCTTCTCATTTGAGGAAATTTATTTCTTGGATATGCCTTTAGAACTTTCATAACTAGTCAATTACAACTAAAGTCCACTAATAGTAACAGGGAAACAGGTATGACGCTGCTCTTCAAAAGATTGACATATTCCTTCTTTAAACACGTTTTCCGCATGCTGAGCAGGTAAAAGGCGTTCCCTAAAGAGCTCAGATTATTTTGCAGTTTCGAAAGGTATTTTTTTATAGTATTTGTCAGTTCTGTATTAACCAATAGTATTTCAACGTCTCTTCTCGTGGCGCACATATCACGGGTCACCATAACGTGTTTCATTTAAACCAAATCAGATCAAAATCAATCAGAAACAGATTGGTTTGTGACTGAGTTATATACAAGAATTTTGTAATCCGAGCATAGAACTGAATTTTTACCCGATAGCCAATACAGGCAATCCCCTATATAGGTGGATGCCCAAGTGTTTAACTTCCCTTGCTTAGGGGATAATTACGTTGTTCAGCTTTAGAACTGGGCATGTTTCTGGGCACTCGTTCCTATATAAAAATGATGTCGTCTGCGCATGTTGAGTTTGGTTGGTCCCAAAACGCCACCTTGAAGAACACCTTCCATAATTGAACACTCTTATGAGATAAATTCCTTTACGTTCTGTTAATGATTGTGTGATATGCAGATCAGATTAACTTTTTATGGCAGTCATTTCGTTTAATTCATGTAATACTTACTGCGTGCTTGAGACTTATCAAGGCATATTTCCGGTCTTGATGTTTTTCCAACAAATGGAGGGTCCTACAGTTTATATTAAGCCGCCTGCGAACAGCTGATGCTTTCCTTTTACGAAATACACTCGGCGACCGCAATTAGAAAATTTAACTTAATTTTTTATTTATATTAATTTTCCATAACTTTTTTTTTGATGTTGGTGACACCGGAATTTGAACCTGAGCCTTCTGAAAGTCTGTACGCAGTGCTAACCACTCGACTACCGCGGCCGCCATATCAGTTTAATATTATATATGACTTCCTTTTCCACCTGCATGTTGTGCGAAAATATTTTTTGCACTCAAGACAATTTGTTCTGGGCGTTGTCAGATTAAATGATCTATAAACTATAATTGGTTGTTCGAATCTAAACTGGGTAATGATCGGAGAATAAGCCGGAACTGACTTTTTCATAACGGTGTGTCCCAAAAATAACCGAACTTTATATTTTAATCATACAACATACAGCGCCATCTATTGAAAATTTGGCATTAAAAAGATACATTCGTCTTCTTTCAAACGCACCTAACATCATGTAAGTCGGATGACAGATGTAAAAGTGACAGCCATTTCAATAAAACCAAAAGTGTGCTAATGGTTCAAAAATAAAATGGAATAAAAAGCAAATATAAAATTTTGTGTCAAACTTGAAAAAAAAATTAATGAAAAAAGTTTATTGTGATGATTGTATGAGCAGTACGCAAGTTTATACGTGGTTTACACGATTTAAAAATGGTCGTGAGGATTTAAATGATGACCCTAGAGCAGGACGTCCAGAAACTAGTAATCGTGCTGAACTGGTGGAAAAAGTCCGTGAAATCATAGGTTTCGATGCAAATTTTACTACGAGAATGTTGGCTGAGGAATTGAATACGAGTAAAAACACTATTTGGAGAATTTCAACTGAAGATTTTGGGAAAAGAAAGGTCTGTGCGCGATTTGTTCCACATGAATTAAATGACGACCAAAAAATCGCTCGAATTTTCAATGAAAAAAGGGATTTCTCTTATCGACCATCCTCCATATTCGCCTGATCTATCACCATGTGACTATTTTTTTTATTTCCAAAACTGAAAACCAAGATGAAGGGAGCATTTTATGATGATATCCCAGCCATTCAAGCAACCGTAACCGAGGTACTGAAGAACACTTCTATAAATGACATAAAAATATCTATGCATGCGCTGGTTGATCACCCAAACGTTGTGTTGAGTCAAATGGAACCTATTTTGAGTAAATAATAACTTTCAAAATGATATATATAATGTGTATTTTATTTTATATCCAGAAAGTTTGGTTATTTTTGGAACACACTGTACATAAGGTTTCTATCTTGAGTTTTTGAAACTGCAAGATATAAATGTTTTTTTGGATCAGTTGACCAAAGTGTAGGTTGCCTCGGAGAAACAATATCAAGCTGATTTTGATTACATGGAATTGTGTTATGAAATTCATATCGTCAACTGCAATAAATCTATTACCTAGATTACTGAAAAAACAGTAAATTGAGTGTATATTATGGAAAAGCATGGTGAGCGTAGATTATTCTCTCGATTGTGGAGGCAAACTGAAGTTGCTTGCTTACTGCAGTCTCTCATAAGATTATAGGCTACAAAGATGAACAGATAGTCTGAGTTTACACGGCGATACTTTTTGCCGTTTATAGGGAAGGGGGCGACCGTGTCGCACGAGCACACGTACCTGTAAAAATTGGCTACATCGATAGTTTGCAATGTACATAACTACCCGCGCCTTTTCTTAGCTGTAAAATATTCCTTTTGCCGCTTGCACTTAAATGAGTGACACAACTCACCACAAATGACGTACACAGTACAAAGCGTACAATAATATTTTGTGTGACCGAAACCTTTTCAATTCATGCATTGGACTGACCCAATTCTTCTGTGTTTCTCTTCGACTGAAATTCCACGGTGTAGCAGGGCGTGTACTTGATTACTTCTCAACTGTACCGGGTTTGGTGCAAGTTTTATCTTCTTCTTTTACTTCTTCCGAGCTTACTGTAGCTTTTTGGTCCTTTAAAACGAGCAGTAATGTTCTAACTTGGTGAAAGCTTTTTAAAAGCTTTTCGACCTAGAGAATTATGGCAAATAATTGATATGAAATGAGAATGAGAAATACTGTGAAACGATTGTTTCTATTTGCAAGCGTATATATATTTCGATTTATTATTTATCGTAATACAATTTTCCGAAGAGGTACATCATATAAAAAAAATTATTATTATTATTATTATTATTAAATGGAAAATTTAGACAAAAGCAACAAGAATAAAAGCATTGTAGTTAGCAATAATTAGATCCAAGCAGTACTGTTTTCTTAACTCTTTATAAGCCTCTTATTTTATTTATCTACCGAAATACTTTTTATGTTGTGCAATTCAGTTTTTATTAAAGTTGTATTCCTTTCATTACTTTTGTAATATCCATCACTTTTATTAAAATCTCTGGAAACGGAACCAGTTACCACCATAGCTGGTAAGGCCCTCAAGAACCCATACAATCCAGATGGTATAGGCGGCGTGTTGGGTGTTGCCAGTCCAAATCTATTATAAAGATATGGCATGTTGCCAGTTACATTCGTATGTTGGGCCAAAATCGCCTCCAAATCTGCTTCTTGAGCTTGCGACAAAAAATCGCCAAATAAACCTCTCGGTATCATACCGAAGTGATCAAAGACATCCACGTAAGCCTCTGTATCCCGATTATATTGTTCAAGAAAGTCGCCTAATAATTTGGCCACCATAGCTGTACGGGCTTTGCTATTAATGCGAAAATTTTGTGAATTCCGAGAAAATGCTGGTGTTTTCACAATGCCGCCAACTCTATTTAAAAATTTTAAAATTAAACGCTCATGAAAATCTCTTGGTTCGTGAGTGAGTCGATGTAGAATTGCCTCCAGGTATAATGCAAAAGCTTGTCTAGCTTGGAGCTGTGTTAATTCCGAGCCGTTATCAATTAAATTCAATATATGCTTTCGTAGGCGTTGCCCTTCCTCTACACATTTGGATTTATGATTTTCATCAGTAAATAAAACCAATGATTCAATCGGCAAAGCACGTTCGTATTGAAGCATTCTTTCTAAAAGTGAGTTTCGTTCTTTTTTATCATGTCCATATAAACAATTAAACAATACTAGATTATAGTTATGTGGCAGTATCATGGAATACGGCGTTTGGCCTTGTACCACCGGTGTTGAAATCGGTATACCTGTAGCGACGTCAAGAAAACTTCCGTAACGTTGCATGCTTTCATCTGTTGGAAAAATGCGAACGAAACCACCACGCCGATCATTTTGTAATCGAGCATTTCTAACAAATCGCTGTTCTTCCGTTGTAAGCGACTGATACAATGAAGTGGCATTTGTTCCTCGTCGCATACCAT